ACCCAATAAATGGTTGGGTGAATGGTTACTGAGTAAATGGTGATTGGTAAATGGTTGGTTTACCCAACCATTGGATAAACCAATAAATACCCATTTATTTATTTATTGGGTATTACCCACTGGTATTGGTTTCTGAAATAAACGTAACAAGCGTTTATTTCATGTATCCTGCCGTTTATATGAAATAAATTACAGGCTACATGCAGGATGCTAGCTTGCCTAAATGTGACCTGTTCAGCGTTTACCCTGCCTCTTACCCAATGACCGACAGAGGCAAGCACCAGCCCTCCCTTGACCTTAGCAGGATTAAAAAAGTCTAAGGTACGGATGGATGGATGGATGGATGGTTTTTTCCCCACTGAAAGCTCTGGAGAAAGCCGTCTGTCGCTGTTGAAAATATCCATAATGGACAAAAGCTGATTTACAGTTCCACAGCCAGACAACGATGAAGCAATTTCCAGACAAGAGTTAGCCAGACGTAAAGGTTAATGGTGTGTCGCGTAAACATGTTGCTGTTTTTGCCTGTTTAATGCCAGAGGAAGGATTTGGGGCTTAGTAAAACAACCCAGGTTTAACCCACAAGGTTTTTTGTGTCACGTTGGTTTGCTCACTTCTTACCGTTGTTGCTCATTGTAGTAAGCTCAGGACTTTGGCATCTGCTGGTGGTGAGGATCCTTTGTGACATAAATTTTGTCATGTCCACTGGACTGCAAGGGTCAAGCTGCAGCCAACTGTGTGCAGGCCAAAATCTCCTACAGAACGGACTCCAGGATAAAAGCAAAAAAACACCAAATACTGCCAAATCAATGCAAGAAAGACAGAAAAGATGATTTTAAATAATGCACAAAACATAAACAAAAAGATTATATAGAAGATCTTTTCCTTTTGTATGAATGTAACAGATCAAATTGCATATTTTGACATTTGTTCCTCAAGAATGTTCTCAAAGTTACCGTTTGTTTCTCTGTCTACCAAAACCACACTCATACATAAATGTGTTTTCAGACAGAGGTTTAGGCTGAGAGCTTTGAAGCCGCTGTTGGCTTTCGCTACCCGACCGATCTGTGGCAGGCGGTTACATTCTGCAGGATTTATTTACCGGCTTCACCCCCCACCGAGATCTCCTTTAAGTTACTGCTGTCACGCACACAGTCCTGCATCCAGAGCTGGACAGTAACTCGTTACACCTATTCAATTACATTTACTTGAATAACTGTTTTGAAAAAATATAAATAAATTACTTTTAGGAGTTTTTGTTTTTACTACGTTGTACTTTTTACTTTTACTTGAGTAACTTTATTATGAAGTATTTCAACTTTTACTTCAGTAAAATTTCTGGATTTTCTATCCAATAAATGAAAAATAAACATGTTTTCACCAAAAATTCACAATAAACATCTAAAGTTTTTATTAAAGTTTCATAAGTTTTTTATTGAAAGAAACTGATTTTCCAGATTTTACTTTTATGAATTGTTGTCATTTTGGCCCGTAAAATACCAGAATGTCCACTTATCCTTATATTTTGATTGGTTTAGTATAATTTAGTATAATTTTAGGTACTCTGCCCACCTGTATTTCGCTACAGCTAGCTTATTTTAGCCACTTGTATTTCGCTACAGCTAGCTTGTTTTAGCCACTTGTATTTCGCTACAGCTAGCTTATTTTAGCCACTTGTATTTCGCTACAGCTAGTTCACAAAATTGTGTGCTGGTATTAAAAGAACCAGTTCTAAGGTTAATTTAATTTTAAATGGTAAAGGAAGACACAAGACATGCCTATTTCTTAAAATAAGATTTTTAATATTACTTATTATCATAAAGATATATTTACACACTTTACAGAAATAGAAAATAAAAACACAAAGCTACGCATGAAAGGAAAAAATAAAATAAGTACTCCAAGAGCTAAAGCTTATCTTTTATAAATTAGAAACCAAAAGTTCAAATATGTACACAGTATTCAACCATTTCTGATACACTTGTTTTATTTATTTATTCATGTCATTTATTTTTGCCCAGTTCAACATCAAAACAGAGACAGGGACTGTACATTTGGCCTGGTGAGTAATATGAGCACACACCATGAACAGAATATAAGTTTAAGGAGTAATACATTGTCTTTCAAACGGTATCTGCTTGAGATCTAGTAACACTGTTGTGATAAACCTACAGACTGCGTTTCTCCTACGATTGTTCTGAATGTGACGGACTGCTGTCGGACGCAGCGGATGGAGAATGTGTCGCCATCGAGGCAGGAGGGGCCAGTGCTATTCTGGGTGTAGGAAGTCTCATTTTGAGGCTTCGAGATAATGACTGATCATCGGCTTTCCTCACGGGACTTGGAATCTAGTTATCCTTTGGATTGCCCAGCCAGTGGAAAAAAAAAGTCTCTATTTGTTGGATTAAATATCAGCCACTCGATCCTGCAGACACCCACTTTGAAGGCCAACATGATACAGTTTGACGGGATAAAGGATTCAGAGGGGAAAATCATGGAATGTGTAGCGTGGTAGCTCTGCTTCCATTTCTGCAGTCAGTGATGTATATAAAAACAATTTCAGTACAAGAAGAATTAAAAAAGAAACAAAAAATATTTTTTTTGAGTTTTTAGGGGCCGTAACTACCTCAGTGACTAAGCTGACATTTAAAACCTGCTTTCTATTAGTTTCTTATCTCCACCTGCAACACATATCTACATCTCATCCTTACACACTCCCTGCCAAATGCATTTGGACAAAAATAAACATAAACGGAATAGAATAAGGGTTTTTCTACCAGGAACACATGCTAACAAGTGCATAGAAAACATTACTCAGGCCTTGTGATGGTCACAGAGAGAGAGGGGAACATTGAGAGGAATAGTTTCTCTTGTGTAAGCCTTGCTGGAAAAGACCATTAAGGAAAATGGTTTTTGCTCCCCGAGCATAATGTATTGGTTTAGCCTTTCAGTTTTAGCCTGGACATGCTTGTCCTTCCATTAAACCTGATGTGCAGGGGAGGGCGGTGAGCTATGATCTACGAGAAAAGAACGCTTGAAAGCTTTCACGTGTCCACGACATATTGTGCTGCAGACTACTTCTCTATTTTGTTACATCCACAAAAGATACAGCTTGTCACACTGTATTCAAAAAAGTAAGCTTTGGACAACCAGCTAGACAAGAATCAGACGAAAGGAAATTGTCACAACACACTGGAAAACCATTCCATAGCGAGAGACTCTTGTTTTCAGGGTGTATTTTTTCCAGCAGCATCATGGAATTGCAAAAAGTGCAGCCTTGCAAACCCATACAGAGAAGTCTTTGAGCAAAGCCACGTCTATTTGTTGGGACTATTTGACGCCAGAAGCTTTGGATCTGTGGGATATTTGGCGTTTGATGATGAGATTAAAAAGGGGCTTCCTTACATAAACATCGGTTTGCTCCTGTCTCTGCGAGGGCAGCATGGCTGGTGCAGATGGTGAGGATACATTCATGAAGAACAGTGCGGATACAGACGTTGCTCGGCTCAGTAACAATAACTTCTGAGGCGGGGAGGGAGAGAAGAGGGATATTGACTCGAGCCCCTTTGCCTTCCCAACTCCTGCGGCTTTGAACCTTCATCCCCAGCTCGTTTACTTCCTATATTCTTCCCTCCAAAAACACACGAGACCTCCTGAGCAAAGCCGTCACGAAATCTACATCTCTGTCTGTGAGGGTATGAAAAAATGATGGCAGAACTGAAATTATTACACTTCACAGTGCCCTAGGATTTAATGCATTTTTAATCAAGGTAAGCTTGGCTGGGATACCACTGTGCTTTTAGATGCTCTCTTAATAAAAGCTTCTCATGCTGGGGCTGAGAAGATTCTGCGTTTTTTATTTTTAATATTTGCATGAGACATGGCGGGAGGGAAAAAGTGCTGGAAATCTAATGCGCCTTTATAAAAGTCTCCACACCCCTGTGAACAAGCTGGGTTTTTGTAAAGTAATTTTAAAAACTGTTCCACCTTTATTGTGAAAGGTATATCCCGTACAATTTTATCACTAAAAACAAGGAAATCCGTTTGGAGGGGGTGAGTGTGATTTGTTTTCAGCATTTGCAGCATTTGAATTCATATTTGGCAAATAATTTAAGGGAATCTGATTAATTTGAAATTAAGTGCAAGTTTCCTATTTTGGACTTTTCCAATAGTTTCTCATTTAAACTGTTAGAATGTGCATCAAACAAAATATTGTTTGATATTTTGTAAACTCTCAGAAAGCACGTCTCTTTGTACAACGGTTTCAGTCAAGAGAAGAGAAATCATTTCAACATCATCGTCAGTAATTGGACAAAACAACACCATCTGTGTTTCCATTACTAATGTGTGCAAAACTTTGTTGATATTCTGCTAATTTTTTTAAATTTTGCAGTTGCAGTGTTTCCATTGAAATAGATTACAGAATCTGGTTGGGCTTTCTGGGGCTGTTCTATTATTATTATTATTATTATTATTATAGATATTGATAGATCTATTATGGTCAGTATGGATACATGTTCCTCAATGCTAACTACGGAGGCCCCCAAGGCTCTATTCTAGGCCTCCTACTTGTTAATTTGTAGATATTTGCTGCTTGGTGGAATCAGCTTCCACAGTTATGTTGATGACACTCAGCTTTTCATGTCTCGTGAAGTTTAAAAAACATGCCGCATCATCCTCCTCCAACTACTTCCTGTTGTTTGCTTTGTCATTTCTGCCAGTAGTAACTTTCGACACAGTGCAGAGCTGATCTGTTGATTATTTTTGGATTATCTAATTAATAATTGGATAGCAAAAGATGGTCTATATATATATATAAAACATATTTAGTCAAATGTATTTTTTATCTTTAATGCAAAATGTCACTATTTTTTGTAGTTTTGTCTTTATTTCTGCTTTTATTTTCACCTTTTCACCTTTTATTGCGCCTGTAAACCCCAGTTAATTGATTAGTAAATTAGTTGACGATTATTTAAATGAACGATTCATGACTAATCGTTCCACTCCTAACAGATTCGTTTTTTCATGCTGAATTGTGCAGGATATTTATCACAGTAACGGTGGAAAACCAGGCAGTGCAGCCGACTTGTGCACACCACCTGTAGATTAATTAGATTATGTTCATGAAACTCATTTAACTAAGTTAGAGTTCTGCATGTCCAACACACAACAAGGATTATAAAATTCCCAATATGTGATATGATAACAGCCTGAATCAGCAGGGGGCCTGAAGTTAAAATGATGTGCTTCCAGTCTGAGCCTCTTTAACAATGAGCTCTGACTAAATGTGGACATCTAAGAAAGATTAAGTTCAGGATTTAATGAGCATGACGATCAAATCCGCGACCACCTGTGCAGCGGACGGGCTGATTAGAAAGGCAACTGCACCCAACGTAACGCAGGGAGATCAAGAAAAGAGGTGAATAACTCTCCAATAACATAGTGATTAAACTAGAGTATACATACAGGGAGAGTAAAGATACAGTATATGAAAATATGCTTGTTTGTATGTTTGTCTTGAGTAAATGCACAAAACAGCCTGCTGAAGTACAAGCCTCTATCACAGCACCCTGAGAAAAAAGGAAATAAAACTAAAACACAGAAAACAATAGAAATGTGTTCCAGTAAGATGGAAAGGCATAGCTTTTTCTGTGCGTATGCTGAATATTAATCTAGAGCACTAGCGGTAGGCTGATCGCGGCGGACTAACTAAGAGCCGAGGTTAAAATGAACAAAACAAAGAGAAAGCATAAACGTGTCAGTGTATCGAGACTTCAAACAAGAGGTAATGCGTTTCTCGTTTCTCTCTGACTTTTTCGTTCCTCCGTTCCTGGCAGCATCGTGGAGAAGGTTGTTATTTGGCACTTCCTTAAGGGGCGAGGCGGCCCGTCGGTCGGAGCGGGCCGCCAGCGCCGGGTAACAGTCGTGAAGAGCAGCTGCGTGGGGGCAGCGGTGTGGCGAGAAGGCTGGGGGTCGGGGGTCAGGGTCGGGGTAAGAGGACTCCTTCAAGGTGGGACGGTAACCTTGAGCCTGAAAGCTGCTCCGTTCCCCCCAGAGGTGTTAATGGACTCAGAAACACCCAAACGGCTCCGGAACGAGCGAGGGAACGCGAAGCTGTCCTAACGGCATGTGCTCTGGTTTTAGTTTACTTTGCATGTGGACAAACTGACATTAAAAGATACAAAGCACCATTAATAATCGTAATTAAGTGATGATTATAACTCCTTTCAACACTAAACCTTCAGCTCCAGAGTATCACAACGAAAATTAGGTTACTTCCTCTGCACGATCAGACCCGCTCATCTGCTCGTTTAAGTAGCTACACAGCGATGAAATCAGCGACTGATGGGACTTTGGATCTGAGACAGAAGCTTTAAGACTCTTTTGACGGGGCTCCCTCTCCACCACATGTCATGCAAAGAGTGTGAGACACTCAGAAAGATTGCTATGATTGGCCTCTATTAAGCAAATTGAAAAAAAGACAGAGATATATCAGTAAGGAGGGAGTAAGATAAAGAGACAGAGAAATAGAGTCTGGTAGCTCAGGCTCAATACCTCCCACCCCCTTTCCAACGCCCCCCTATCCCTCCTGGAGCCGAGGGTGAGCGGCTTGTCCTGATTTTTAGGTGGACAGAGTTGCTTGGAGAACCAGCAGGTGCTATGGACATCACTCTTCAGGCTGGGCAAGCGTAGGCCCTTCATTGCAAGGCCCCCCAAGGCGAAGGAAGAGCATAGAAATCAGAACCTGGGGGAGGGCGCTCAAGGCAGTGCCTGCAACACAGAGAGACAGGAAGATGCATCAGAAACCAGCAGAACTTTCAATGCTGACCCATTGTGCTTCATTGAACGGGTTAGGATAGCTGTATGGGAGATGAATAAAAAAAAAACATTTTCTTTCACAAAATCATTCTTGAATAATGAGATTTTAGCAGATTTGGCTTACACTTACTTGACTAACTTTTTGGAAAAGATGTAATCAAGTTCAAGTTTATTTGTACAGCACATTCCAGCAGTAGTTCAAAATTATAAAGTTATAAAGAAAACACCAACTTAGTAAGCGTTACGTTTTGATGAGCGGCATCACCAAAATCATACAAATTAAATATGGTGGTCAATGTTTCATTTATTATGGTTCAAAACTAATTTTAGCAGGTGGGTTTTTAGTCTAGATTTAACTTTGTGTTTCAGCTGCTATGTTGTACTGTTTACTTTTACTTTGATAATTTTATTGTGAAATATCGCTACTCTTACGTGAGTATAATTTCTGGACATACTACCCACTGTGAGTAACTTCAGTGGCTGCAAACAGATGCGCATTTATACAACCGTACAAAAGTAAAGCCTTGAGCACCAGTAACAAGAATGCAGCAACTGGTTTGTAGGTGGTAAGCCAACAACAAAACTCATGTCTTTTTCAGCAGAGTACAGCGGTTAAACCAGCTGACCAAACATTCTGGAGCTCAGCTTTGGTTGCTAGGCGATGGGTGCGGTTTCGCTTGGGTTGCTAGGTAACGGGCTGGGCTTCTGATTTGAAACGTTACATTCTGGAGGTTTCTGACACGTGTAATAGGCACAGAAAAACATTATAACTTGTTTATGTTTTCGTTTTAACCAGAACCTCCATATTTTTATTGACTGTTCTTGAAATCTCTGTAGTTTCTACGGCTTTATCTGCCGTTGTTTCTGAACCGTGTTGTTGAATGTAATGAAAGCGTATCTACTCCTTGTTTGCTTCAGGGTTGATCTCTGGTTATTATCATCAAAGTGACAACAGATAGCGGAGAATACAGCTACCAGAGCATGTAAGATCATCAGCTCTGTGTATGTCTGAAGACATTCAATATCCTCTCAAATAAGTCTGAGTATCTGTGGATTTCTGCCAAAGCTTCGTCTGTGTTATTTCTGACATTATCTTGCACATCTAGAAGGCTACCGTAGACATGTCTCGACCAGATTTCACAGTCTTTGATTGGAAATTGCAGCAGGGAGTAAGAAAAACAATTGCATATCGTGCTGTGAAACACAAGCCAGCCATTATCTTAGACTCTGGAGGGAGGATCATGACCAGAAAACAGAAATCTCTTATGTTCTGTTGTATTTTATCTCCGCCTCTACTTTGGATGATTCTTTCGCTGATAACAGCCTTTAGTTCTTTGAATTCAACATTTTTTGTTGAAATACAATGCTACATAAATGAATCTATAGCTTATCTCAACCCAGCCGTGTTGTCATTTGTTGCTCTTTGTGCTTTTAGATCTATGATGTAGGCTTACTACATCATAAAGTCAGCGTTTGGAAGGAGACGCAGACCTGCTCCCTTTGGTTTGATGGGAAACTCCTTGAAAGAGTCACATAGAGTTTTCTCACACTAGAGGCCACTGGGGGTTTCCACAAATCGCCTCTGGCTTTAAGTCTGTAATATCCTGTTGTCTCGTATACTATCACTGGCATGTCTTAAGAGCCAAAAGTTGGTTTAATCCAACTCTGCTTGAACGCTTAAAGAGGCTGGCCCGGGTCGCAGTATTTCTTCTCGGAGCTGCTCACATCTGGAAAGTGTAATGGTGAAAAATCTGACATTGCCTCAGGTGTCATAGAGAATAAAAGATGAGCTGTCTTTGAATCTAAAATGGGGTGATGCTGCTAAATAGCACACGGTTGAAGGATGGACAATGTCAGGGGAATCATTGTTTTTTATCTCCGTGTAAACAGTGTTGTAATTATGTTTAGGTCAGTGACGGCTCAGCTCTGTCTCTATCCGCTGAAGTCTTGCTTTGATCAAATGAAATGCATCTACGGCTGATCCCAGGGGCGGTTCTTTTCCCACCGTCGGCTCAAATCGAAGAAGAAAAGAGGGAAAGCATGAGGCAGAACAGAGCCTTTCAAGCTGATGTTGCAGAAAGGGGGACAAATTGGTGCTAGCTGTCTGGCCTGGTGAAAACTTTATATCCTCAGCATGCAGCCTCTACAATCCAAAGACATTTTATGCCATCAGTGCATCTAAATTAAACGCATTTGGAGCAATCCATGTTGACAATTATTATTGATAAGTATCACTTATGGGCAAACGTCCACTAATGTGCTAATTGCAGAGCTAATTTTTATTTGGTAGGGCTAAACCGCTAAACGAAAGCAGCTAAGTTTTGTTTAGAAACTACTAAACATTTTCTAAACCTACTAAACTGTTAAGTAGGGCTAAAATGATATGACTGCAAAACGTATCACGATAGAAGAGCCTCATATCATGCAGCATCAATAATTATTGATTATATTTTTTGTTTTAAATATTGTAAGTACTGTTAAACTGGTAGCTAACATTTCCTCTTTTCGACACCTTTCGCCTTATTGTTTATTATATAGAAGAAGTATATATTGTTCTTGTTTTATTTATGGAAAACGGTGTGGAACCAAAAGCACAAGCAACAAATATGTATAAAAAATATCACTGATGCTTTTAGTGTTATTTTATTGTGAAAAGTTCAATCCAACTGAAATTTTCCTGTTTAAACGACTAAAATGTGCATTTGTTAATATGTTTTTATTTTAAAACATTTGCTAGTTTACTATAATGTCTAGCTAACATGAATAAGAAGTCCTCGTGGAAGGTCTAGAAGCTGTGAAATGGGACAAAACGAGGCCTTTTTTGCACATATTTGGACCAACAATGTGTTTTATTTGTAAAGCTATGTTTGTAAAGTCATAAAATACCCCAAAAAGTAAGTTTTGTGCAATTGTGAAAAGACTTGTTTATTGGTGCAGCATCTGATTCCAACACAAAGCAGAAATCAGCTTCCTCATGAGTCAGGTGAACCAAAAAGAGCCGAGCCGGTGGAGTCAACAACAGCAAACCTCTCCAGTGTATTGTGGTTTAAGTGCTGTGTGCAGAGACAGCATTGTGACTCAGTGAGCCGTTCAGTTTTAGAGCTTCGCAGCTTTCTGAAGCTCCCGTTTATTATGTGCTCAGCATTCTGGCACTGAGTCGAACTCCAGACACTCGGCGCTCTGAAAGGATTCTCACTTCTCATTGGCAGAGGCGGCCCTTCAAGTGCTACTACCCTGCTTTCGCCTTCATTGTTTTCATCTTTGTTATGAGTCCCTGGAGTCTCGTCTTTAAAGCCAGAGTGATTTCAAAAGCGTCTTAAAAAACTGCGGTAACAATTGATTATTCATAATTTGTTATAGATTGTAAAACACCTCTGGGCGCTTTGCTTTGATCCTCTTTTTTCCAAACTGATTAACAGCCTTTGGGTTGCAGGCTCCTCTCACTAGTTTAATTTATGTAGGACCTCTGCAGGTCAGTGTTGAGTGGTCGGCACCTCCTGCAGGGATATTATGTCTCGTCAGGTTTGCCTGTCTACTGTCGTCTGAAAGAGACGTGTGGACATGCTGCTGTTGGTTTTCGCAGTGACATTAGAGGTCTGAACCTCAGTTTCTGTGGATTTGGTTCAAGTATTTTAGTTTCACAGTGAAGCTTGAGCCCAATTTATTTATGTTATTAAACAATAAAGAGGTGAAAAGTTGACAGACAAGTCTGAATACGAGGGAGATTTCACAGAAAAACTTACTTTTAGTTGACATAAAGTTAAACATTTGTTCCAGGAACCTGGATACTTATCTCTTCAAAATTATTATCTTTGGAGAAAATACTTTTATTTACTTAATCGGATCTAGAGTAAAGATTTGTCCCTGCCAAGCGGCCCTGGAGGTAAGATTTACAAGAATAACTGAGATTTAAATAAGCTACAGTTGTTCTGGGCAGATGTTCAAGCTGGCAGGTTTGGTCCAGTAGTCTGAAGTCTGGATCCAACAATAACTTCCTGCAGAAGAAGTTTGATTCGAGTTTTCAGCAGATGCATCAGCCCTGATTCTGCCGACTGAGTGTTTCAGCACTGTAAGTCATTTTGTTTTCACAGTCCCTGTTGTAAGTTGTTTTCTGGCCAATGTAGTCAGCACTTATGGTTTAATATTTCTGGAAGTGTTTCTTTTGACATCCTCTAGAGAAATATCCGACTCAGACTTTACAGAAGTCGGGTCTTCTGGGTAAACACAGCAGCGGCAGGCATATTGTGTTTTTAAAAGACTCCACAGAGGGTAAAAAATGTCTTTTTCTTCTAGTTTATTTACTTTTTGTTGGTGGAGAAAGTTTGGGTTGGGCGATGTATTGAATCTATTTGATGTATCATAAACTTTTCAATTTACGATGATTAAAATGTCTATCGATTAAAAAATTACATCATCAGCTGCATCAAAATATAGTTAAGAGGAGATTTAGGTATTTTAAAGACGAAAATAAAAATAATTAATAAAAACAACTAAATTACAACATGTGGGTAGAGTAGTCGTCTTGCGATCGGAAGGTTGTAGGTTCGATTCCAGCTTCCTCCTGCCACATGTCAATGTGCCTCTGGGCAGGGCAGCAAGGCACTTAACCCCAAATTGCCTCCCAATCTGCGTATCGGTGTATAAATGTTTGTGAGTGCAAATGGGTGAATGTGACTCTTGTGTAAAGCCCTTTGAGTGGTCAAAATGACTGGAAATATATAAGTTCAGTCCATTTAAAATGCATAGTGTAGTAAAAATACTCCTAAATGTACATTATTTCAAAAAAAAAGTTACTCAAGTAAATATAATTGAGTAAATGTAACTAGTTACTCTGCAGTTGAGTATAAATTGTCCTTCAAATAATTTGGCTTTCTACATCTAATTAACTCCAAGTGTTGTTTATCCGAAACTCTACTAATAAATCTGTGTACAGCTGATGGTTACAATAAGTACAGTTACATTTATTCTGATTTTGAAATCAATAAACATGATTGATCTGTTTGAAAGGAGAACACCAGTTTCATTTGGTAACATTAGAGGTTATTCAAAAATATGATTAATTATGTCACATAATCTAGTAGGACTGCATTTCATATCACTCGATTTCAATAATTATTGATTAGTTTTTTTGTTTTAAATATCTGAAATGCTGCCAAACTGGTGGTATGACCTTTCCTGTTTTTTGTCTTCACCGTTTGTTATTTTCAAGCAGTTATGAGACACAGTAGCAGAATATTCAACTTCTGCTGGGCCAGTTACTCAGCAGGTCGTTGCTAGGTAACCAAAGAATGAGTGAGTTGCTAGGTAACCAAAGAGTGAGAGAGTTAGTTGATGCTACCAACGTTGCTTAGCTAGCAGCAGTAAGAGGTCGAGTCTGAAGTGTTTACTCTGCATACATCTCCCAGAATGCTGTGCGGTTCTGGATCAGAGTTCAGTGAATATTCTACATATCGAATGTTTAATATTCTATCAGACATGTTATTTATTGATATTGATCATGTATTTATCACAACATATTGTTATTGATTATTGTCCAGTCCTACGATATAGTTATAAAAAATCCAATATTTAGTATTTCCATTCTGCCCAGCCGTAGGAGACACTGACCTTGCTCTAGAACGGCATGGGCCCCTTGTGGGAAAGACGGGGCCGTGGGCGTCTTCTCTTGGCTGGTCTGTGGGTCTGACCGCCTCTCACTGGGTTCTGCTGGGCCATTTTTCTCACTGTAGCTGCCTCTTCCAGCCCTCTGCCATGCTCCGTGGAGGCCATGGGACCTGGAGGACACACACACACACACACACACACACCAAGGAATCAATTGGACAACCAAAAAAGGTAGAGTTACCCAACTTTTTGACAGCGAGGGTATTACAATGGGATCATGAGCCATTGGTGCTTGAAGCAAGACCCTAAAAGGGATCAGACTGGTAATGGATGAGGAAAGAAGAGACAAGAATGAATGGGTGTGTGTCAGAGTGTGTGTGGGCCCGTTGGAGCCCACCCATCAGCACTGCAGCCCCATCAGGTCAGTGCAGCAGATACCAAGGCGAGAAACCTAAACCCCTCATGTTTCATGTCACCGTCACTCTCCCTGGAGTTTACAAAATCCTGCACACACCAAACGCTGCAGAGGAGCGTCCCATGCTCAGGGATGAGCTTAATCGCACTGAAACAGTGTGGATTTCCCTCATTTACACGTTTTCTGAGTGAACCCAGATGTTCTCGGCCGTCTCTCAATAAGTGAGGCCTGATCTCCTTAAGCTCCTTCCTTTCCCCTGGGTTTGGTCCACCCAACATGCCGCCAAACCGACACACTCCCCTTCTGTTTGTTCAGCTTATTTTCTGGCATATATGTGTGATTTTTTTATGTTACATCCATTTTATAAGTTGAGTGAAATTTGAGGCAAGGCAGTGGAAGAGTTCATTTCTTTTTCACTTCATTTCTTTAACGCTCACCTTTAGAAAAACATTGAATATTACGTGCAAAGTGATGAATATGTCCTTAGTAGTTGAGCTACAGTGTTTCCCGTTTTGCCCCCAACAAGTTGAGATGTGATGACCTAACACAAAGGGGTGCATAATTATGGAATGAACATGTTTTAAAAAACTTTAAACACCTTAAAATCTGAAAGGTGTGGCAGGCATTTCTGTTAAACTCCCTCACTTTTAGCTTTTGGAGTTTTTCTTCCAACTTTCGACATTATTCTTCTTCTTCACAAAACTAGTTAAGTTCAGTCAGGTTGAAATGAGGTCATCTAGCAGCAATAACAAATATTGGTAACACTATTTGAAGGGCTGTCCATAATAAGCCTGACATAACGCCGGTCATAAACATGAAGGAGTCTCTGTGAACGTTTATGACCGTTGTCATAAAGTGCCATTTGGTAAATAATGGCAATTTTGCATTAAAAATGTCACTATGTAAAAATTACACTTCATGACGACAGTCATAAACATTTATAAAGACTATTTCATGTTTATGAAAGTGTCATGTCTTCAAACAAAGTGTTACCATCAGCTGGACTTTGACTGGGCCATTCCATCACATACTTATATTTTGATAGGGTCACTGTCACCTGAACTAGAGAAGGAAACTTTCTTTTCTTCTTTTTTCTGAGACAATCTTCCCTCATTGCCTTTACTTCCTGCATCTCCACTCACAAAGCTGATTGACATTATTCACATGAGGTCATGACATTCCTGCCCTCGGAGCGACGGGCGCCATTTTTAGATTCCCCAGGGAACGACCGTCTTTACTGCGACCCGAGTGAGGACAAGGCTCAAGATAAGTCCGCCGGCCGACTGCAGACACTCTAAAAGTTAAAAAAGTTACTGAGCGAGGCATCTGAGAAGCTTAGAAAAGCCAAAATGATGCCAGGTTTGCACTTTCCTTAAGACTTTTCTCATGACTTGGTGTGAGTTGAGGCAGTTTTGATGTTAAATGCTCTAAAGGAACAATTCATCTCTTTTTTTAACTAGTTCATTTAAACAAAACAAAAAAACTCAGAAAAAAGTCATATTCTTTCTGGAGTTTTTATTAATTAATTTTTATTAAACTCAAGCCTTTCAAGTCTCAGTGCTTAAATAGTAACGATTGAGTCAGACAGCCAGCTGAATGTTTTCAGCTTATATCCCCGAAATGCCAGACATCTTAAGTTGCATTTCCACACTAATCTTCTTCCGTGACCATATTACTCAGCTATAGCTGTGGGCCAACAGTGGGCTAATTCATTTGCAGCATATTTCCACATCTGAAGCATATCTTTGACCCTTGGAGCGCTAATCTGTGCATTATCCTCTTGTTATTGTTCACATATGCAGTGGAACAGGGACGTTCACACATCCTGGAGGAATTCAGCGCATTTCTTTCAGGTCCTGAATGGTAGAAAGAAGAAACTGGGAGAATCATTGGGGGTCGTGTTCCTCCTGATTTGCCCATAAAAACGCCATAAAAACGCCCTCTTCATTCAGATGCAGAGCACACAGAGAAGCCAGAATGAAGAAAACAAACTAGTTTATTTAGAAATCTTACCTGCAGAAAGTAGTTGTTTAAGCTGATGCAAGGAATTGTGTAAAGAAGAAACTTTGAACATTTCTTTAAGGATTTAACATTTAAAGTATGCTACGGTTGAAATTGGTCCAAATGTTGAATTAGTCAGAAGTATACATAAAGACCTGAATAAATGGATTCACTCCATTAATGTTAATATTAAATGACTCTTACAAGTTGCAGAGAAACCGCGTTTTGGACAAGTTTCTGGTAAAATTCATGCTGGGTATTTGACCTCTCACCTCTAAAAGGCTAGTTCAGATCGCTTTTTTTGTTTTTGTTTTTAAATAGTTTGTATATTTTCTTACGGCTGAGGTTGTCATCCTAAAAGTTAATGTTAGTTTGCTTTATCCATTCAAAGCCATCATTTCCAGCCATAACACCCAGTTATGTTCCTGATAGTTGAACATTTTGGACATAGTTTTCATTCTTCCAGTGGCAGCAAAACAAACCCTCAGCATGAAGCTGCCACCGCCGTGCTTGGTAGCTGGGAAAGTGTTAAAAAGCTTTACGTTAACATTGTGACCAAATCAATAAATACTTCTCAATCAGCTTTAGATTAACTCATTAACTGATAACAGTTACCACCAACCCATTTAATTTCCTTGAGAAAAGCATTAAAATGGAAAACTTTGGATGTAACAGGTTTCAGACGGGGTTGCAGACATCGCTGAACCATTCAGGAAAGCAATTTGTTTGAAAACACACCCGATACTCTGCTGCACATTACCGGTGTTTAGGTTTCCCTCCACTTTAAAGACAGCAACACATACACACCGCAGTGCGAGTTTGTAGAAGTAATTGCGTCCCGGCTCACACAAACTCGCCTGTTTTTCCTCTCCGGGTGGCTCAGCCTGTCACAGTCCGGCTCCATAATGAGACAATTTAGACGTCTCCTGTCATTGCAAGCTGTCAGCCGAAGCTCCTCGCCTGGGATTCAGGGGGAGCATCCCGCCATCCTCCTGACAAATCTCAGCCTGTCCTGTCCGGCTACGGAGGGAAAAGTGTAATGAAAGCTTCTAAAAACAAGCCAGCCTCGGCGATAACACCAGTGGTATAGATTAACTCTCTGTGGGGAGAGGATATCAGCAATGTTGACGGGTTGTTTTTTATCTCGACTCCTCTGCAGTGGAGGAGCTATAGATCGAACATGGCGGCATGAATGAGAGCGTGGAAATGTTTTATAAATCTGTAAGTTACAGTAAGGATCTATATTCTCTTCTAATGTATACATGGAAGTCAGCCAAGCTAATTGCTAATGTAGCCTACTAAAAACTATTTGAAATGTCAAAAAATAATTTAAATTATCAGTAAAGCCTTGCTCTGTCACACAACACCGCATTGTATTTTTGGTATTGATCTTCTGATACAAAATAAATACAGGAACTTTATCGCTGATACTGATTGATGTGTGATCATACGTCTAGGGAAGAGGATCAGACGTTTGACTTTCCTCAGAAATCTGACTTTTGTCTCATAATTCTCAGGTCTGTCCTGTCTCAGAATTTCCCTCTTTCTTTTTTAAATGTTGACCTTCCAGATTTTTTTATTCTATAGAATTTTGACTTAACGAATTTGGACTTTTTATCCTCAGAATTCTGTATTGCTTTTTCTCAGAATACCAACTTTTTTTTTTTTCACAAAATTCTGGCTTTATTTCTGAATTCTGACTTTTTGTCTATCGACTTTTTTCAACAGAATTTTGACTTTTCCTCAGAATTCAGATTTTTTTTTTGGGCGAAATTCTGACTTTTTCTGTCAGAATTCTGAGAAAAAAGTCAAACATGTTTTTAGTGGCTCTAATTCTCTTCTGTAAACTTCTGACTTTAGGGTGTTTTTATAATTATTCCTTTGAGTTACTTTAACCAATACGGACTTTGGACAAACTTTAAGTATCAACAAAATACTTTTATAATGACAAACGGTGACAATAGTGAACCAAAGCAAATTAGTTTACAGTTTTTCAAAATAAAGTATGAAAATGATCACAACAAATTAAAAACTCTGTTTTTAGTTGAGAAACTACAATAGAAAAACAAAGTAAAATATCACTTTGCTGAAGGAAAAATCTCGTTTATCTCTGTCTGAAGCCTGGATAAACATCTCCACAATCTGAAATAAGATCCAGTCTCTGTCCTGTCATGTCTGATCTTTCCCCATGAGAGATCTCCATGTTTGTGTTGCTTTGGTCAAACGGCGAAGCGGCTGCTGGATAACACGTGTCCCACCACAGTCAGCATCTCTCCACCATCTCTGGTGACCTTCAAGCCCCCACTTGCCCCCTTCCCATCAAAACTCAGCACATCTTCCCTTGCTTGGTAATTCTCTCATTAAAGTTTAATAACAGGGGAATTTCAGGAATGCTTTGTTATCGCTGCCGCTGCTACTAGCGTTACCTCCGCTGCTTTGAAAATAAGAAGAGTAGGCTTGTGCATGTGTGGAGAGGTAAAAACGATTAGTTGATAATGTCATAAACTGGCCGGTCCCCATGCTAATGATGAATGCCGCTTCCCGTTTCCTCGTCCTAGTTTTGCCAACTCCTGAGGTGAAATCTGTTATGATGTCTTCTTTAAATGGCCGCCTCTCCGTCTTGTTGTGGCCTTGTAAAAATAGGAATGCGGCTCCATCAGCCTAGAGAGATATACATCCTCTGCTTGTCCGCCCAGTTGTTTGGTCCAACGCCAAGCTGCCCTGATGGCTACCGAGAGCGAAATATATGTCACA